GCTGATTGTTACCATATTTTGCAGGCCTATTATAGGGGATATTTCTCATCGGTAGCCACATATGTGCCCAGTAGTGCCCTTTGGTGGATGTTTTACCCCATGTTTTCTGGTCAGTCACGCGATATACCGTATTCTTCCGCTTTTAAGCCCATGGGCTGTTATGTGAGGGGTCTTTGACTAGGGTAGACTTCAAAATAGCATGGGCTGTTACCCGGGTAGTAGCCCACCCCCTCTAAGAAATTGACTTATTAGCCCATGGGTTGATATCTCATATTAATACAGTAAATACATTGATTTACCTAATTCTATGTATTCTATGATTAATAATACATTTCAATTAAAACAATTTCTATTTAAAACATATTTAGTCATCTGTATTATTAGATTAATACTTAAAAACTATACTACTATTTTTGAGTAAAAATAGCATGGGCGGTTACCCGGGTAGTAGCCCACCTCGTCTAAGAAATTGACATAATAGCCCATGGGCTTAAAGGCGGGAGAATACGGTACAAGAAATGTTAAATTAGTGTTTAATTAATTGTAACGTTTATAAACACAGAAAACATAATGCCTTTATTTCCTGAGAATACACCGCTTATGTTAATTCAATGCACGTCCGGATCTATCTCTGGGATGACTGTCGCAGGTATTTACCATATATTCATATTAGTTATAGAGTATTGCCATTCAGAATGCTTTAATTTAGCCAATTTTGAGCATCTATTTGGTGATCATTATTGAGAGCTAAGTTATAGATGCAGTGTTAGTATAGTTCTATAATGGTGTTTATTTGCATGGATTGTTTACCATTACTGGTGACCGCATATGTGATTAAAATGGATATAATGTTTACAGTCATAACCAATCCATTGGATGTGTTGAGAGCCAACATTCAGGTGCGAAGAATCGTCGGTTCATATATATTAGCGATGAAACAGCTCTGGGCTGAAGAGCACTTCAATATATTTAAGAAGGGATTGTCGGCCAGAATTACTCAAAGCTGTATATCATCTGCTTTTATAGTCGCAGGTATTTTGTTAGAAATATTTTGTGTTTTGCTTTCAAAACAACTAATAATGTTTAAATTGTTTTTTCAGGTTATGAAACACTAAAACGGTATGTTTGGTAACGCTTTTGTCATAATATTTGCTTAAAAATTAATCCCATTATTAATATTATCCATTAGATTAAGCGTTAGTGAAGAATACAGGCATACAATCAAATGGTAACAAATATGGCAAACACTAGTCATCGGGAATTTGACTCGTTTTTTGTGATAAAATACGTGTTTTTTGTAATATATTTAATAAAATCTATTAATACTTATATTTTAGATCAATATATTTGTTGAATTTTATTTAAAAGACCTTTTATTGACTTAAATAAACATTCATTTTTAGATATTTTTAGAAAACAATACTTTATTTATTTATTAATTATTGAAATGAAGCGACGATTTATGTATCAAAAAGTATTGACACAAAACTGTAATAATTGCATGATTTGAAAGCACTTTTAACTCGTTCTCGCATTACATGACTATTGCTTTGAGTTTATGACAACTTTATAGATCTGTTTGTCTGTCTTGTTGTCACTCGTGGCGTGTCTTCCAGTGATTTCTGGCCATCTATTGTGCGGACAATACTATTGATGTCATGAATAATCGGTGTGAGAGTGAAGAATGGCTCAAACAATACCAACAAATGGTTTCAATGGTTTGTATCACTGCTTCCCTGAAGGCATTGCAATTGTAATCATTATATAACAATTTGTTATTAACAAATGCTTTCAAATAATTTACATTTCATTTATGCAAAACATATTCAATTATATAAGTGTTGAGAACTGATCACCACTTGTGTCCGTCACTTCTTATGCACTTTATCTACAATTATATCATAACTATAGAAATGGTTTGATTTGTAGTAATTTTGAAATGCTTTTCATTGAATTGAACTCTAAATTTAAACAATGTGTTAATTAATACCAGATTTGATATTAAACATTATAATCACTAATATATAGACCAATATATAGTTAGGTCCTAATGTCTTAATCAATTAATTAATGTAAATTTAGTAATATTTGATTGAAGCGCCAAATGCTATGAATTTGTGCCAATAGTGTACAGAATGTGTGATTAAATGGATTAGCGATTAATGATTAGTGATTATAATGTATATGAATGGATGAGATGTGTTGTTTGTGATAGTATTGGTCAGATTAATAGATTATAGTTATCTGTTATGTAGTGATCATTGATCACAATTAAGTCAGGCATTGCTGAGCTGTGGCTGTAGTGATAGAGACTGTAATCAAATGTTATAATGTTTTTGAGCGCTATTTGTGTTTGAAGTGAGTGTTTGTCGTAAGGATTGGTGTGTTTTGTGCTAACAATCAGTCAATCACTGCATGTATTCACGCATTCATTGTTGTATTGAATGAGCGCTCAAACCAACCATACATTCAATCAATCATTTCATTTAATTATCGCTTTAATTCATTCAATACATTGTCATTGTCTCACNAACAAAATACCTGCGACTATAAAAGCAGACGATATACAGCTTTGAGTAATTCTGGCCGACAATCCCTTCTTAAATATATTGAAGTGCTCTTCAGCCCAGAGCTGTTTCATCGCTAATATATATGAACCGACGATTCTTCGCACCTGAATGTTGGCTCTCAACACATCCAATGGATTGGTTATGACTGTAAATATTGTATCCATTTTAATCACATATGCGGTCACCAATAATTGTAAACAATCCGTGCAAATAAACATCATTATAAAACTGTACTAATACTGCATCTATAAATTAGCTCTCAATAATGATCACCAAATAGATGTTCAAAATTAGCTAAATTAAAGCATTCTGAATGGCAATACTCTATAACTAATATGAATATATGGTAAATACCTGCGACAGTCATCCCAGAGATAGATCCGGACGTGCATTGAATTAACATAAGCGGTGTATTCTCAGGAAATAAAGGCATTATGTTTTCTGTGTTTATAAACGTTACAATTAATTAAACAGTATTTTAACATTTCTTGTATATCGCGTGACTGACCAGAAAACATGGGGTAAAACATCCACCAAAGGGCACTACTGGGCACATATGTGGCTACCGATGAGAAATATCCCCTATAATAGGCCTGCAAAATATGGTAACAATCAGCAAATGTATGACACAATTAAAATTCAATCAAATACTTTGAGTCCGCCGTCTATTCTATAGAGTTCTTTAATAACGTGTTTTGCGGCTCCAAAACCTTTCATTTGATTTGGATCTACTTGTAATTTAGGTATAGTTTGAGTGCTTTTACTCTTCTGGCCGCTTAACATCAGATGTTGTGATATCACATCAAATGGACCTTAAGTTAAATTACACTTTCCATTAGATTATTGATAATTCACACAACACTATCATTTTGTATGGCATCAAAACATACAGATTATTGTTTGACTGACTAAAGATCCACAGCCTATGAAATAATGCAAAATATAATTTAAATAAATGCAATATTGATTGATGTAATCAGTAATGAATACCTCCGGCGATCAACCCTTTGAGACGACTGTCATGAATGTCATTTTTGGAGAGAATATCTCTAACCTTCTCATACGTTAAGATATAACCGATTCCTGATATTAGACAATAAGTCATCAAAAATATTAATTCAACACATGTTTAATAAATACCGGAAACCACTTGAACTGAATTTATCCAAAAACCTGTCAAATAGACGGCAAATGAAAATAATTCAAATCATTTGAAGTGATGTTTGCAAACCTTTGTAAAGACCAGAGAATCCCTCGTTTTTTATTATACTCTTTAACGCATCAAAAGTGCCTTTAATTCAATTGAAATGCACTTTAAATACAAATCACATTTGATTTCAATTCAATCAACGCATACCTCTATACATCTCTCCATGTCTTTGGACCTAATTATGGACAAGAGATGAGTGAATGAGTTGGCAATGGTTTGGTACTCATGAGTAGTCATACCTGAAGACGTGTTTTGATGACAGTTAGAGGATATAACACACATCTGAGACCCAAAGAGTTGATGGCCGAGAGGGCGAAGAAGCGCCGTTTGTTCATCATTTCCCACTCTATGGTCAACATCCGGACCCGAGAGGACTCGATTCCGTCCATCGCTTCCCAACTTCTTCGCCGATTCAATAGTCAAACGCTAATCAATACAAATCAATCGATGGCTAAAATTCACACATATATTAAGCACTCATCAAAATATATATCAATTTTGGCACTCATTTACGCAAAACATGTGAATTGAATGAATTGATAGTGAATTGTGGCAAACATTTCACACCTAATTATAACCAAAATCAGTGCTCAATAGCAATGAAAACACCAATAATTGTCATCAGATATTAACTATGCATTCATTGAGTACTTGTACTGTATTATCGTTTTATCAATAGTCAGGCAATAGTCACGTTGTGTTGCATAACATATAAACCCAGCCATACATTGCGTTACGATATTTCCACTCAACATTATTGCCCCAAAACACATACATTCACTCATTTATTGATTAGATTATTAATTTAATCATGTTTATGTTAACAATGATTTTTCCATGTATTTTATTTATAGTTAATTGATTTACTTATCAGTTCATACATGTAATTTTGTTTCATTTCAATTGTAATTATTGTATTAAACTTTTTATTTCAAATACTGTATAAGTTCTAAAACTTTATGATTTAAATCAATTTGCAAAGATTGCATATTATATGAATTGGTGGAATCAATTTATACAAACTAAACTATCTAGCAGCTAGATTCTAGCTTACATTTTAATAATTAAATGAAATATATTTGGTGTAATTGCAAAATGTATGGTTCAATCAATTTGCATACAATTAAAGCATTCATTAAATTAAATGTAAATTTCAAACTTGAAAACTATTAAATTATGAATTAAAAATAAATAATAAAATATACGGTACATTAAAAACATTTGAAATTGCATAGAAAAATGATTGAGTTAAACGTAGATTTCGCTGTAATAGTGTCTCTTGTAATAGTGGTTAGAGTAGAGATCATAGAGTTGTAGTACAACTTTGTCGACAATAATAATATTCAGTCAACAACTCCAATGCCAGTCCTATGAAGTGATGCTCCACTGCTATTACATCCAAAATTCATTGATTTATCTGAAAAAGTTTAAGGCATTGAAAATATTTCTCTAAACAACGATTTAAATATGAGATAATCGAAAGTGACATCTTTTATGAGATCAATTGCAATGAATATAATTAATATAACGTTTGGATTTGTAGTGATTTTTGTGATTACAGTGAAAGATGTGAAGACACAGTCAGAAACCAATGAGACGGGAATTATGTCAGGTATGCTTTCAATTCATAATTTATAAATTGTTTTTTCACTTTTTATTTATGATCAAAAAATCATATATCAAATCACATGATAGATTATATCTTATATTACTTCATAGGAAATATTAAAGAATATATTGTCCTAAAATTATTATCATTTAATATAATTTTATATTTTTTGTGTGTCTAAAAGAAAGAAAAATTTATGAAAGTATTGTATAAATCTTGAACACCAATTGTCAGGTCATTTACCTATGGTTTTGAGCAAACTTTCTTGTGTTGACATTGAACTTATTCAACACTTTTAGTGTAAAGTTTTATAAGAATATTGATCACCACTTTTGTAGAGTTAATTTTCTACATACATGTATCCATACATTTATTACTCTTTTTCAATCAATGGTCAGTCAGTGGTCTTCTCTTAACATTTGTTTAACTTTTGACTTAAGATTAAAAGAGCGTTCACTTCGTTATGACCTCAGGATATACTGTCCTCAGAGGTTATTGAATGGTAAACAAGTCATTGACCTTAAGTTTTTCAGAAAAGCCTTGACATTCAATTTTATAAACTTTTAACTAGTTTTAAAAAATTACACAAATTTTGTACCAATTAAATGCAATTTTAAATATTATATCAAAAGTTATGCACAAAACATGCATTGTTTGGATTGTCGTTAGGAATATAAAAGTTTTGATTTCATGCACTAATTTTCATCAATCATACAAATAATACAAATACAAAACTTTTATTGAAAAAAACATTTGTATTTTACATCAATTGAAAAATAGATTTGTGGAGCAGTTTGACATCAGTGGGCAAAGCGCCCGCCTGTCCGGGAGAGTGTGTCCACGCAATCACTTCCATATTCTGTGACAATGTTCTCGAAGAAGTCACGTGTGGAGCAAACTTCTTGCGCTGTTGTGTTCCCCACGAGTTCTCCTTCGGGACACCCGTCGAAACCTCTGCGCCTTTTAATGACAGTAACAATAGTAATGGTGCGGTCAGTCATCCGGAAGAGCACACATCTTCGACACCTGTTTTGGACACCTCTTCCACGACAACCACCACTACAACCACTGTTAAGCCGACCGACGCTCACGCCATCACATCATTTCCTTTAGTTATAAGGCCGCACAACCCTAAGCCGTACACACCATCCGTGGTGTTCGGCTCAGTCCACGTTAACAAACTTAATCCGATGGCACCTTCACTCCCACAACAACTGCCCCTCACGACCACCACAACTACTACTACAACCACCACTACTACCACTACACCCAAACCAACCCCCAGTACTGAACAATATAGTGTGCCGACCACTGCTCGGCCTATATGTGACGGCACATGTGTTACACCACTTTTTAGTCTATTATGCAATCAAACTGATGACAGCCTTTACTGTCCAAACGGTGGTTCGTGTTGTGTGAACCGACCACCGGAAGCGCCCCCACAGAAACCCTGCCCCGGAGTTTGCATACAAAAAAGATATCTTAGTTTCTGTAGTAATATATTAAATGAGGGCAAGTGTTCGGGTGATGACCAACAGTGCTGTCTTCAGTCGGAAGTGGATTTTGACAACTCTTCAAATATTGTAACTCTTGTACAACAAAGCGATTCATTAAATAATTCAAAAGATCACATTAAAGGCAATGATATCCACTCATTGAGCACAAGTCACGGCAAGGATAGCGTGTCGACCACTCCTTTGCCATTATGTGAGGGCACATGTGTGGCACCACTTTTCAGTCTTCTATGCGATGAAACCGATTACACCCTCTTCTGTCCAAACGGTGGCAGTTGTTGTGTGAACAGAGATCCCACAACAGAAGCGCCTCCACTCAAGCCCTGTCCCGGCAATTGTATCCCAACTATATTGAGTGGGATGTGTAACCGGCCCTCAGAGCTCATACTCAAGACAATTGATTGCAATTCAGGCTCTATTTGCTGTCATAATCCGCAAGAATCTAATGAGGAATCTGTCAAAGACGTGATGAATAGCGACGAGACAAACGCTCCCAAAGTTAATATACCTCTTCAACCGCCTCTGTTTCCTCAAAACAATCCACACAATTATAATCCAATGCCATTTCCTTCGGACAATTCGCGGCCTCCGATGCATACACAAGAAATGCCGATCCAAAGACCGCCTCCAAATAATTTCCCCCCTTTTCCTATGGGACCAATGCTTCCGCCGTCAAAACATTATCCGCCAAACCCTCAAATGATCCCTCAGTTGATTCCCAACCGAGATATTATTCCAGTACCGCATCCCTCGCATCCTTCACATCCTTCACACCCTTCACATCCATCACATCCCTCTTTATTGCCAGTTTCTCCAGAACCAGAACCCGAACAACCGGTCGATAAGGATTCAGTTGATAATAAGACGATAGGTGTTGGGGGTCCACCATTCTGTCCGGGACCTTGTATTGCACCCATGTTTAGGTAGAAAATCATTTAATTTTTTGCTTTGAAGTTTAATTTTTAAACATAATCTCTAGATTTACGTGTTTTGGCGGAAATGCCATTTACCCGAAATTTCAGTGCGCGAAAGCGGGACAGATATGCTGTGCGCCTATGACTGACATTCAAACATTTGAAGCTAATGTTATGGCCAATAATGGCATCTGGAAACTTGACCATAATAAAACTG